TTATTATAAAAAAATATAAAAACCATAAATTAAAACATAACTATTTAAGTTACATTTTCTGCAATTCTACTATGAAATATAAAAACAGCAACGCTATCATGATTTTTTTATTTATGTAAATAACAATATTCCTACTACGCTTCATCACACGAATATAAATTACTCGTTTAATTACTATATTTAGTAAGTACAACGCTGAACGTTGTAATTTACTATATATAATTCTCATCAAATAATCCGTAAGAAGATGTATAAATACAGTAATTAAATTTCTAGGTAAGGTGCAATTTTAAGAGCCGGTTTAATTTCGGCAACCTTATCCTCTAAGAATGTTCCCTTCTCTCATTTATTTGACGGATATTTGTACCGAATTGTAGCGTAATATCTTTCTGTGTCCCCATTCAGTTGCGCTTTTTCTCTCTTAATATACATTGCCTTAATCCTTGGTTTATTTTCACGGATTTTTCGGCCAATATATATCCCATGTTGACTTTTCCCCGTTTTCGCACAATTTGCGACCCGCATTTAATTGTATTAATCCACACGTTCGGTTCGTTCTCGTAAACTTAATTGAATTCTCGCATGAGAGAAATATATTTTTGCGCTTAACGAGAGAGGGAGATATTACAGCTGTTTGTTTCCTTTACTCGCAAGAATTGTTTTTATAATGTTAGTTCGAGAAAATAAATAAAAACTAAATAAATTTTTAATTTCTTTATTTTCATTTAGTGCGGAAAATACACATTTCTCAGAATGTCATATGCAGTATTCTCTAAATTGCTAAACAGAGATGTCCGTCCGTAAGGTGTGGACCGCGGAAAATAAGATCGATGACGGCGACGCCTGCACGAGACGTGGAAATTTAAAATATCCGCAATGAACATGAGACAATATACGGAAAGGTAGCAAAAATAAAACATTACACAAGATAAATCCTCAGAAAATATTAGCGTTGGTAGAAACGCAAGCAATATTTTCTTGTGTTTTACAAGTCGAGACCACTTACGTGACGTGCGCGTAAACGTATTAGACGAATAAAGAAAAAATGGGAAAAAAGGAGAAAGGAGAATAACGGAAGCGATTCTCTGGGAACAAAGTGACTTACTTTGTTAAACGTAATCGATCACGTGGCAACTTGACGCCTTTTGTGCGAGATGTCGCAATAACTCATGGTATAAGAATATATACCCAGACAACACAGAATATTTATGATAAATATTCATTATTATTATTTTTTTGAAATGTTATATAAATATTTTATATATATCTTATACAAAGCTTTATTAGAAATACTATTATTAAATACTATTATATTAAAATATTGTCTAAATATTTTAAGTAATATATAAATAAATATTTTAGTAAGTATCTTATACTTACTAAAATCTTATACTTGGACTATGATGTCTTATTAAGTATTTCTATAGCATAGCGATTTACTACAACATTTACAATAATAAATATTTATAATAAGTGTTTATGATCTGTGCAATTTAAGACCACAAAATGTTTACTCTATTAAAATAAGTTTTATAAATATTTACAAATATTTTGTAAGTATTTTATAAATATTGTGTACTGTCTGAGAAGATATTCCATTGCACGTCTTAATGACGGCAGACTAATAAAACAACAAATCAAATACTTTTCCCAAAGTTAGCATTAAATTCAAATACAGTGTTTGATAAAAATATATAAACAAATATACAAACAAAAATGAAATTTTATCTCTGCTAAATAAAAATTCAAAAACTTCATGTCCATATAGTGCCCGCACTGTTAAATCACTCGAAACACTCTTCTAATACACCTACAATCTAAAACATAGTAGTAGCCGGTAGTAATCATGTTACTTTTTTCTCTTTTTTCATTCTTTTTTTAAATTCAATCTGGGGCAATATTTTGATTGGCCGAAGAACAGTCGCCATATTGGACGATTGCATATCCTCGAAAATAGGACACTTTTGCTCGTATTCATAGTCAGACCTTGTATTTAAGGCTTCCTTAAATTTATCTTTAAGTGCTCAGTAGCCAATGAAATAATTTGTAGAGTATCTAAAGGTAAATTTAAGGAAATTAATATAAGGAATTAAATATAAGGCCTGACTATAAATACGGGCATTTATTTCTTATTATACCGTAAATTATACAAAAACCTGCCATCACTTAACTTGTCGCCTATCTTTATTCTCCTCTCGTTGACATGATCTGCTCCGACCGTTCTCGTACTTTCCTTTTACAACTTAATTTCCGCAAGATTCACCTGTCGTCGGAAATCGAGCTTGGATCAAGTTAGTCTCTCTCATAACATTCTCTTCCTTCCTTTCTTTTTTTCTTCTCAAATTCTTTTATAGCAAAATAACGCGATATTCTATGACGTAAATTATGTCGATAAAAACTTTTTATGTTATTCGAGTTGCACGCTAAAACACTATTGCATATTCATACCTATTCCTTCAGAATCTTAAGTTCACGTAATCGACACACAAGGCGAAATATAGATGCATTGCGCAAGCAGACGATTTTCTGATGGAGACAAGTGCAATCTCGACTGCTTTGATATTGTAATTTAAAGAGCTTAGAATATTTTATACCGTACACAATAGATTCATAATATCTTGAACAAAAGAGCAAAATATGTAGAAAAAAAGAGAATGAAAGACGAAGGATGGTGCAGTTGCGTAGTGTATAATAAACGACAAAATATTCTGAGAGAATCACTTTATATGCGTATATATATTTATCTGTTATATATAATAAATATATTATTACTTCGCAATGAATGTATTAGCATGCGTCGCATCAGCAATATCTTACAGTTTTATCCGTTCCATGAGTGACACTTAACACATCCATAACGAGCTGCGAATATATCCGACGATGTAAGACGTAGAGACGTTGGAAACAATGCGATCTCTTAGGACAGGGACCTTTGATCCGGCACGTACGTTGGCGAGACAGTTAGGAAATAGTCGGATAATCTTGCGATCGATGGCGATTACGAGGATCGGAACTGAACGTGCCGTCTCGATACACCGGGACAGATAATGCAGAGCATATATTTTAGTTAGCTATTTTCAGTTAGCTATTTAGTATTCGATTTTAAGGATTTTACTTATTGAAACAGCTGCAGTGCAACATTTGTTTGTATCTTCGTTCTTTTTGATAAACAAAGCTGTCCTGAATGTATCGACAGGCAAAAAATATCTACTCTATAAAACTTTTAGAGTAAACTGACTCACTCTGAAAAGTGAAATCTCATTCCTAAAGAGTAAAAGTTGAGCCACTCTTTTTCAACTGACTCAATTTTTATTCTTTAGAATGAGATTCTACTCCAAAAAATTTGGAAAGTAAACATTATCAAACTAGAGTCGATCTATAATAAGTCGCTAATAAGAATCCATTCAGCATCATTTACAAAACGTTGCTCATTGCCCAAGAATAATTTTAATAGAACTTTGGGCTCTTAATAATATTCAACCAAATATAAAATGAAATTTGAAAAGTTACAAATATAGCAGTAATTTTTTTTTAATGTTTTTCTACTGACGAAAATTCATTTGAAACGCTCAAGAATAATTTATTTTAGTAACATTTTTACATTTAACGCTTATAATGTATTCAATATTAAATAAAACGAAATTCAAAAAGATGCAAATACAGTAGTAATTCCTTTCGTTTTTCTCATCAAGAAAAAAATAACGTTATGGATCTGGCTCTTTCCAATTCTGTTAAAAATAGTTCTATAGATACTCAGACAGTACACAATATTTATATAAAATATTTACAAAATATTTATAAATATTTATAAGATTTATTTTAAATAAATCTTATAAAATTTTGTAAATATTTTTGTGGTTTTAGATTGTACAGATTATAAACATTTATTATAAATATTATGAAATATTTACTGTAAATGCTAAAAAAATACTTAATAAGACATTATATAATCCAAGAAAATAAAATACTTATTAAAAATATTGATTTATATTTATCATAAATATCACATATAAATATTTAATCTATATTTTAACAATATTTCCAAAATAAAGCTTTATATAAAATATGTATGAAATTCTATGTAACATTTCAAAAATAAATATATTGGTAAATATTTATCATAAATATTCTGTGCTGTTGAGTAATTATCGAAATATAACCAAGAAAATCTCATTTGGATTAACGAAATTAAATAATAAACACGAGCGCACATAATTTTATATTACTAATACATTTCAGAAATTAATTTGAACAAATTTAATTTATGTTTAATTCAATCGAATCTTACGTTCGGACTAATTGTTCTTGTCACTTATTGATCGCATTACAAGGCGTAAAGTGTTTGATTTGTAAAATAAATGGCACGCGTAGATGCATAACATTCTTTACTTTCACATGAAGGATCATCATCTCACAAGCGACGCGAAGATGAGAGTTATTAATTGGAAATAGTATCGGCGCGAAAATCGATATGACACAACGTTCCTACGTACTTACACTGGTAAAATGACGATGTTAATCTGGCCTATAATCTAATAGTTAAAGGTAGTGCATTAGTAATTAAGTGATTAATTAATAGACGAGTAATTAGTAAATTCGATACATTCACAGTGTGATACAGCATAGGTTAAAATGGTTGTACATCATTGCGATACACTCTGTATTTGTGATGTTGCAACATATAGAATTGAGGATAGCTTCAGTTTTTGAAGATTTAATATTTAACAGTTGACATTTGACATTACTCGTAAAATTATGTGTATGATCAATAAAGAGAATGAAATATCGTGAAATTCGTTTTTATTTTCGTAACTATCTAATTATTCTTTCTCGAGCGTTACACGATTATATTTTCAGTAATTTTCTGCAACATGTCGGGATATTAAAGTGCTCAAAGAAAAATTATTTATATTATCAAAATTATTTTATAACAAAATTATCTTATAATATAAAATTTTTGTTCTGCTAACGAAATATTAGCTGTTAATATATAAGTGCTATAATATAATATATATTTAATTGTTAATTAAAGTTCCTTTAAAATTTTCACCTTTGTCAAACAAAGAGAGCAAAATTAATTGCTTTTAACGCGCATAAAATCCATATTTAACAAGATATACTTACTTTCACGCAGGGACGACTCAGAGCGCTCGAGGGGATCAATTTGGTCTCTTAAATGCTGTTATATATACAGCAAAAATGAAAATGAAAATTATTAAACCATTAACGATGTGAACGAGATCATTTTTCGGTGAGTTGTTGCTCTTTTCTCTTTTTTTCCTTTTTTCTTTTACATTCTCCATAGACGCGCTGAGTTCTCTAGACGACAGAATGATCGAATGAGAAACTTAAGGGTAACTCGAATCGTTTATCGCTTGCGAATAGAGAGCAGAGTGTGATGCCTGGTTCTAACGTCGTTTTCCAAAGCGCAAGAAAACATGATCGACGTCTTGTCTCTTGACAGCGCTGTCGTACCGCGGTAAGTTCTCTCGGTATTCTGAAACAATTCAAACACAAACCGTGCATAATTATCTCCATCGTCGTAATCAATCCTTCGGTTTCGAGAACGCAGTATATGGGATAGCGTCGAAGGGGTAACCACAAGCTGAAATGTCTCACAGATTACATAATTTCGTTTGATATCATACGATTTCATCTGATTGTAAATTATTTCATCTAATTGCAAATAATCTTCTTCGTTACATATATGAAGTCACTTAGTAAAATAAACTATTTCATAAATCCGACATAATGATTTCTCATGATTGAATTATCGGATTTCTAGTAATTGCAAATGTTTTTATTTTATTAAAAACATTACGACGTAGCCACTTAATATAATTGTGGGGCAAAGTGTCTCCGAAATCATGAAATTCTTAGGAAATCTCTATATGTAATCACTTTACAGTCAGATGTAATCATAAATTTGAAATCATATAAATCATTGCGATGAAATTATGTGTGATCATCATGAGATCTGATGAAATTAGTGTAAATAATTCTAAGGTAGCAGAATGTAAACAACTGTTGTTCATCGAACATTAAACACGGAGAAATAATGTTCTATGCGTTTGATGCGCAAATTCGGAATGCACTCCTAGAATCTTATACATAAAAAGAAATGCGACCGAATATGCGTCAACTGTGTAAAAAAAGGCTGTATATTGTTTACGTTCTGCTTAGAAATCCTGAAATAAGAGATTGAACACCGCTTAGACAATTTCCAATTAATTCGTCATATTTTTCAAGACCTATTTAAGATAAAATAAGATGCATGGATATCTCATTATATCTTAAGTAGGCCTTGAAAAATTTGGCAAACTAAACATACGTTCATCTCTTGAGAATCTCTAGTTTTGTTAGCTTATTATTGGAATTATTTATACACTGATTTAAGTTTTATGATAATTATACACGATTTCATTTTTCATTATAGACTTTATGGTGATTATACATGATTTCCAGTAATTGCACAGAAATTCAAAATAATTTCTACTGATTATACATATGACTTCATTATAAGTTTTGATTATTCTACATGAAAGATTTTTGACTTCATGATTATATCTGGTTGTAAAATGATTACATGGAGATTTTGTAATAATTTCAGAGACACTATTTCACAATTACATTATTTCCTTGGGTAGCGTGTTCAGGCGCAGAATTTAAAACTAATTATATACACTGGCAAAGTTTTCGAGCGGTGATAATATAAATTAATTAGGCAGTAATAGCAAAAAAAAGAGGCACATGTTGTTCGTACGCAATAGCATGACATTTGCTTTTCATTCGTTAAATAAATTAAAGTGTCACTCGCTTTTAAACGGCACGTAGCGATAGAACGAATGATTCAGTAAGGGTGGGAGTTTATTTGTGCGTTTTTGTAGGATTTTATTTTTACGTCAGATTTTTCAAGCCTGTTGATTGGCTATAAGATAGAGAGATTCGAGGGCCTTTCTGTCCTGTATGTAATTGTCGTACGACAAAAACACACAAATGAAATCCCACTCTTAGACGATTACCTTTGTCGTCAATGAAGTCATTCATGTCCCTAACGTCCCATATTCTGGCGAAGGCCATGCAGATTTTACGGAGTCTGGGTGGAAGCTCGTCAAGAAATCCTGGGTTGCATGAAATACCAGGCGACCCGGCGAGAGCTTCGCCGGAGAGGATTGCCATAGTCGTCACGGATACGAGGATCATCAGCGTCGAGCTCATCATTTTCGGGCTGTAAGGAAGAATAGAGTAAAGATGCCTAATATAAAATACCTTTTTTTAAAGGCTTGTAATTTATTTAACTCTTAATCTTAACTCTTATTTTTATATCAATATTATAGGAAATATAATCAAGTTTTATCGCCAAAAGTTGGCTATCGATGATAGCTATACTTCGTTGTATGTAAAGATTTTTATCAAAATTGCCAATTTTATTAATTCAAAAAATGTTTGTAATGTGAGACACAAGGGTTTCTTTATATAAGATGATATTTTATAATAGGAAACCAAGGAAAAAATTGTAAAAAGCTTTCAATTTTAATTATATCTAGTAATTGCATAATTTTTCGATGACTTTATATTTTAAAAGTACAATAATCCTAAGACTAGAAATCAATTACAATTAATATATCAAACTTATATACTTATTATAAAATAAAACCGTCAAAAAAAATAAATAAAATTTAAATTTCTTAATTTTTAGAAATTAAGTACTTTATATTTTAAGCCCCACGCCTTACAATTTCACAATTATCAAATCTAATTTTTACAATTAAGCAAATCATCACATTCTGTATTTTTCTATTAATTTTTGCTCTATCGTTATATGTACAATTTATTACCAAATATTTATTTATTATATAATAAACAGCTATTAAAGATTCATCTCGATAAAACTTCTAATTTCACAATATCTAAATTTCCAGATGTTATATTATGGACAACATTTAATTTCACAAATCTTTTTTCGCAACAACTATAGTCATGATCTAATAATGAATTTTCTAAATAGATTTTACCCTAAGAGTAATAAGATCATTCATGATGGAACCGACCACATGCGCGTATTAGCAGAAACCCCTGTCTCATATTAGGAGCTTATCTCATAACAGATGACTTTACTGTATAATGTTATTCATGCCGATCACTGACACCCTTCAGTTTTGCAAATAGCAATGAGATCAAAGGGAATTAGTTGAAACAGTAAATATTTAACTGTTGCAACAAATTAATTGTTTTATCACCAAAAGTTTCTTAAAAAGAATTATTTTATTCACTGAAATAACTTTCTTCCTTTATAAAAAAAATACACTCTTGGCGATCCAAAGTGACATTCAAATCGAGTGTTCATCCTAAAGTTGAAGGTTTTATTTGGGAGTTATTACTCAATTTAAGTGTTATTTCGGATCGCCAAGAGTATATTTTTTCGTAAGGATTAGACTTGTAAATTGCTTTGCTCCAACAACAAATTTATTTTATCTTCTTCTTTCATTTTATAATTTTTATTTTTTATTTTTACGACAACAATCTATCAACAATAATTACATGTAATAATAAAATTGCATTTTCTGATGATGGGCTGTTTGCTTTAGCAAGTTAATATATTTCTACGGGCAAAACTCGGAAAAATTATTCTACTGCTGATTTAAGAAAGTAAATTTTACTGTAACATGGAACAATTGTTATCGCAGCGAAATTGATTTGCTCCCTCGTCAAATATACAATAATCTGGTAAAAATATAAATAATAATTAAATATATGTAATGAGTTTACAGAATCTAGAAACATAAAATTCGAAAGGCTCCTGTGAAGCAGACGTGATAGACATTTAAATCATGAATCACAAGCCACTTCCTGGTATCCTTGCCCTATTTTCTATTTTACAATTGTATTGCACCATGAAGCGAGTATCCGCATATATTGACCCACAGGTGTTGCGCGGTCCGACTTCCTAAGCATACGATTTCCTTGATACGATAGCGAGGGTCTATTGAAAATTAGACGTCATGTTCACATGTTAACGTTCGCGCAATTCGGAAGGAAAATGTCGTAATAGTACTCGGCAAGTCGCTTGACATATCTTACCACATAATGTGAGAACACAATACTAAGAGCGATTAGCCTTAAACTTCAGATGTAGTCATGACACTGTAAAATAACGTCAACTCACAATAACATTACAGTATAATTAATCGATAAAATTATAATTAATCCGTAAAAAATTGTACATCAGTAAAAAATTAAATAGTATATATAAAATGTTTGTAAAATCACAGATACGTGGAAGCAGTCCAAAAAAACTTATTATTATTTTTCTTAACTCCAAGTTTGTACAGCCAAACTTTTAAACTATAACATCATCTCTAATTTAAATCAATGTAACATTCAATTTAATTTTTTCTATTTTAATTTCACCTTTAACAATGTTATTGCGTTTCTCTAATTTAGAAATGTACGGAAATCGTTTTAAAAAACTTAAAATACGTAAGAGAAGCTATTATTTAAAAAAATGAAAAATATTTATATAAATTGGAATTTTAAATTATAATTCCAATTGGTATCGTTCAAAAACTTTCTTAATTGACATATTCGCGGATCTAGTGGACACGAACATTTTTTCAATGAAATTTTGAAAAATTGTTTATAACAAATGTTTTTTACAATCTTATGTAATTTCAAGTTACATTGATATCATTCCTTGAATTTTGACCGAGGGGATAACTACTAGTTTAAATATTGTATTCAT